GTAGTCGAAATAATGCTTCGATTTTCAACTTCAGTATCTTGTTCGATTGGAAAGTGAATATCGTTGGTGCATTGGTTAAAAATTTAAAATTCCCAGTAATTTTCAAAAGTGCCAAGAAAAACCAAAGTAAATTTAATGAAAAACGGTAATTTTTATGCAAAATCGATTTTTCACAAAATTTAAATTTGGTTTTGGTGTAACTTTAAAAAAAATGACCGTAGATACATGAAATTTTCACTAGTTGTTTTATTTGCATTTTCTATACACGATAACATTTTCAATTAATAGATTTAGATTTATTTTGAACTGTTTAGGGACTTTTCATTTTCCATTTTTTGTTGGTTAAAAAAGCTTGAAAATTTAATAGAAGGCTCCTAGTATATTGTTTCAAAGGCAGATGAAAAATATTAAATTCCTTAGTCACAGTTTTTTTTTTTTTATAAGCATTTAAAGTTCAAAAATTGACAAAATATGGGAAATCACGAAAATTAGCAAATTATTTGAGTTAAGAATTCGTAAAAATTTTTCTTTTTAAATCTAAGATTTTAAAATGTAATAGAAGATTCCTTATAAGATTATCTACCTTTATCAAAAAAAAAATGTCCATGGTCAAATTAAAAGTCAAATTAAATTTTATATGAGCGTTTGAAATTCAAATTTTTACAACATTGGATATTCACTCGATTTCTCATGTAGCGATTTCCTTATTTTGTTGTAATTCAAAAACGAATAACTGTAGATACATGAAAATTTCACTGATTGTTTATATTAGCATTTCCTATACACCATACAATTATGAAAATATTTTGACTCTTTTGAGCTGTTTACGGACATTTTCAGTTTTCAATTTTTTTAATTTTTTTTTCTATAAATATCAATAAAGTTTTATCTATTGGGCCAAAAAGCTCCTGATATATTGTTACAATAGCAATTGAAAAATTTAAAAATACATAGGCACAATTTTTTTTTATAAGCATTTAAAGATCGAATCTTGACAACATTTATCAAAATTATCAATCATTGTAATTAATAAATTATAAAATGTTCGGTTTTTATAGCTAAGGATTGCAAATTTAAAACAAAGGTTCTCATAAATAGTTCATACTGTAACAAAAAATCTAAAAAATATATGAACACAGTTATTTTTTACAGACATTTTAAATTCAAATTTGGACGAATTTACATAATAAAAAACCTAGAATAACTATTTTAGTAATTTTGTTGTGATTGTATAATATTATTCGTGGGTACTTGAAACTTCTAAAGTATACTACTATATATCTATGTTAGTATCACGGTTTTTGTTGATGTATAACGCGTTATAAGTATAAGTACCTAATGGATATGGTGGTATGATTATTTTGAATTTATTATAGGTACCTATTATAGGTCAATTTTTGTTTAATACCATAGATATGTATATAATATGCCTTATACCTAGACTGACATACCGTCTCCGCTCAGAATCGTTTTTCTTCTACAATGATATTGTATCATTTAGTTAAAATTTAATACCAACCTAACCTAACCCACTTGCCCACCTTTTTTTAATATTAATTTTATTTAGTTTTATGAATAATTTATTTAAGTACAAGTTGCAAGGGATTAATCACTTATAATTAAGTATAAAATAATTGTCTTGATATCTATTGAGAGTTATATTATTACCCATTTTTTCTAAAAATTTGTTATTTATGATGGTTGAATAATATTGAAATAAAATTATTTCTGTTGGTTTCTTATAATATATATATAAATTCTTTTAATTCTAGCACAATTTGAAGGGACCTATAAGTCCACTTGAAATGTCAGTTAAAGGAATAAGTCGTAATAGTGCTCCTAAAATAATAAAAATTGAAAGTCAATCCGTCAATTCTGTTTTATTGGACAGTGACCCAAATGATTACCACGAGAGGCAAGTATTTAATTATCTTCTTAAATATATACATAATTTAATATGATTATTATTATTTTTATTTGGATTGTTATTTTATCATTAGATTGTTTGTTGCTGGAAATGTATGTTTAAATGAAAATGATAGGTTAACTCTTTGGGATACAACAATGATGCCAAACATACCTGGGATGCCGGCCGTTATTTGTATGATGTTCTCTCCGTGTGTTGAAATCAGGTACACTCTTTTAAAAATAATTGTTTACTAAAATGTGTAATATATTCATATTTTGTTCATAGATACAATTCTTCTTATACTAAAATGATTGGAGCCATTTGTGGTTTAGGTTACAACCCAGAAACTTGTAGGCCATTGTTTGAAGATAATGATATTGAGATTACCTTTGACACTGTTATTGATCTTAATTTTTTGAACAAAGTAAATTAATTTTGCTATTTTGTATTCAATAACCTGGAGCTGTTTGAAATGTTTTTTTTATTCTTTATTAGATAAATGTTATTAGAATGCTGTTAAACAGATGTGTTAATCCAGAAGACGAAGAAGGTCCTGGTGATATTTTTGAAATACAGCATAACTTACAAATGTCTTTAATAGAGTATGTATATAACATTTGTATAGTTATTTATTTGTATTAACATAATATATTTAATTTAGTATATTCAGTGAACCCACAAAGTTCAAGGGTCCTGAGCAGTACACTAGAAAATATCTGTGGTCGGAAATTCGAAAATCAAGACTGCAGTCTCCATACCAAGAAAATAGCCCCGTTAATCATCCAATGGCTGGTTCTGATGTTTATAAACTATTATGGGCAACTATTTTATCACCAAAAATGTCTGCTATAGAGTGCAAAGAATTGATGTTTAAACTAAGTAAAATCAAAAGATTAGAAGAATGGTATGTTTTAAAACTGTATATAATAGATATGCCGCTTCCATATCGCGTTATTGCACATTTCACGAAATGGACAACGTTTGCATCATTTCACAAAATGGAACCTTCATATTTCCACTTCACGTAATTACACAATATGGATTATATTTTGTGAAATTGATATCTAAATTGTCATCAATGAAACTTGTTCCGTCATTTTGATGTCCATATATCAAAAATTAAAAAACTTTAATTAACAGAATTTTAAATTCTGATCGGACCAATAAATGTGTTGATTTTACAATGAAGTGTGTTTTTTTTTTTTGCGTTTATCACTGTTTGGGGCAGTAATACTACTACTTCGATTTTCTTCAACAATATCAGGGTAGACATGTATGCCGCCACTCGACGGTTACCTCGTTTGTGCCAATACAAGGAATAATGTTCAAAATATTTTGAAATTACATCCAAATTACATATCCATTTCACAAAATATAGTTCATATTATTGTGTAATTACATGAAGTTAAGAAACTGAGGGTCTATTTCGTGAAATGGATGCAAACGTTGTCCGATTCGTGAAACATTCCATAACGTCATATGGATGCGACATAATATGCAATAATTACAAATTACAACCAATTTTTTTTCTTTTAGCTTGAATTTCAATAATTACACCAGCGATCGGTGTTTAGAAGAACTTCGTTGCCCATTATGTGATTTGGTGTTTACTAACACTCCGTCCATCCTAATGCACTTCGACAATTACCAGCATATTGAGCGTTATAAACTCGCTAGAGAAGAATTGCAATTGCACTACACTGGACCATTTCGAGATATTAAACACTTGTAAACTGATTAATTTTGATACTATTTTACAATTTATAATACAATTGAAGCTCAACTAATGTAATCTAAGAAAACATAATAATTTGATAAACATTTTTTATAAGTTTGTAACTGTGTTATAACCAGTATTAGTGATACTTATATTATTAAGTAACAATAAAGAAGTTTTTTTAATTTAATTGTATTTGATTGAAGAAAGAAAATATTTTAGCTTATTCATTTTGAATAAACTGTTTAAGCAATTTATAGGAATTATATTTTGTAAGCACATTATTCCATTAACTACACAGTAAACAAACAATGAAAAAAATAATATTATCATTTGCAATTGCATACATTCCTTCGATGTATCATCCAAAGGATTTTGAAGTGTAAGGTGTGAAATTTAAAAATGAAAATTGCATAGTGGAGTTTCAGTAGATGTTGTACACATTATACAATATACTAGTGCTATATCAGGGTAAACTTAATTTTTTCCCATAGGAGGAAGAGCTGTGCACATATACCATTTTAAAACATATCTGTTGACTGTTCCCACAGGTTTTGCCCACACATATACCCATCGATTTATATACATATATAGATTACGTACTTCTATAGTGTAAGAGATGAGAGATTTTTATAGGTTTTTGTGGTCAATTATTTCAGTGTTATTCTTGACCACTTGTATAACATTCATTTTAGTAATTTATTTAATTTTCTCTAGTTTATCACAAATTGTCCAGGAAAAACCAATATACATATTTAAGAAAATGTTATTGTTTTTCCCTCTCTTAATTATTGTTACTTCAACACAGTTTTTAGTTAGCTCATGTAACATAGTTTTGGTGATTAAGTAATTTGAGGCTTTTGTCCCTCCGCCGGCCGCAACTGTAATAGCTGTGCTATCAAAGGAATAAAGGAGTCGTCCGATTAAAAGTACTCTGAACATTTCTAGTTTTCAAAATAACAATTCTTCAGCACATAATATCACACCATCTCGGTACATCATAACCCCTAAATTATTTTAGAGTAATATAACAGATGAAAAAATTACATTTTAATAGGTACCTATAGTAGAACCAGAATGTCATTTAATAATTTTCAATTGAATTCATAAATAATATGTTTATTTTAAAATAAACTAGGTAATACAACTAAATAAAATAAAATATTGATTTGCTGTTATAAAATATTATGTACTTGATTATGATAATGGTATTACAAGCCAATTACTAATATTACAAATAAAATAACATTCATACCTTGGTTATGAAACAACTAAAAAATTACTTCAAATTAATTTAAATTAGTACAATTTATTATCATGCTCCTTGACATTACTGTAACTTTTCATAAATAAAAATTAATATATTATATTATTTCAAAGTATTGGTTCATATTTGCTGCGTTTCTTCTTTTTATTTTTTGATTTGTTATCTATAAAAAATGAATTTTTATAATAATTAAACAATTGAATTAATTGAAATTGTCAGAAAGGAGGGGGTCCACCTACATAATGAATATTTTTTGGCTACGTGCCTGATAAGAGGATAAAAACTCGTTTCCGCCGACAAGTTTTTATTTTGAATAGAGTATATTATTATGTATTGTTAAATTTGTACTTAAGGAAAATTATATTTTTATACCACAAATTTTTTTTTTAGACATTTTTTAATAAAATTTAACTTGTAATTAAAGTTTAAACTAAAATTGTGCAATATGTACAAATAAGTAATTCTTATAGTTCGACGGAAGATAATAATACGAATAAACAAGCGTTTACTGTATGTAGAATAATAATAATTCTTTACAGAATATAAAGTGTGCTCAGTCAATAGAAAAAATTTAGAATTTGATTATTTCAACCTATGACTGTGTCCATAGGTTGATGTGCAATAACTAATCTAATTGGTAAAAATGTTTAACAGCGCTATACACGCGACTGATATGATAAAATTATGCTTTAGAGCTGGCTAGACATTTTGGTTGCAAAAGTAGATACATTTGTAACATTTGATTATAAGACAAAATCACAAATTTATGAAATAAATTATTAAATAATAAATATATGTATGTATATAAACATACCGTGCATGTTCATGTTGGCTACAGCATCTTCAAGAATATTATTCATCGGCATAGAATTTGGTCTAAAACCAAGTACTGGCCATTGAGATGATACATTAGGTAAAACTGGATCTGATGTAGAGGAGTTACTTGCGGTACTTTCATTTTGCAATGCCTACAATACAAAATTCCACTATTGTATTAAGAAACTAAAGTAAAATAATTGTAGGTATATTATGTTATAATTTGTTACAAATGGAAATAAAAATTAAGTCATACAAACAATAAAAGAACTTAAAAAAAAAAAAAAAAAATGTAGCTTTAGTAGAATAAATCCAAAAATCACTTTTTGATACCTAATTAGTAATTATTTTTTTATAGTAAATCAAATTTAATTCTATCATCCATATTCTGTTCAACAAGAGAACTTGCCGATTCTGTGCGTCACCACACAACACCCTGACATAGTAGAATTGATCTCAATGGTAGCACTACGGCTGAATTTAGAAAACCCTATTTTATCAGGCAGCAGCACATTCTCTAGCTGGACAGAGTATAGCAACATTCATAAAACTTCAATAATAAAAATAACTATACACAGTGATGCGAGTTGGAAAAACACATAATATCAGAATGATTAAATTCTATTATTTTCTTACACAAAATATATTTTACTTAAGACTGATCATTTTGAACATATATTTGAACTTAAAAGAACTTCATAATTAATTAAAGTATAAAAAAAAATTAGTACACTAAATAATTTTACTATTGTAAAATAAATACATTTTTTATAAAACAGTTATTAATAATAAGTAACACTGTACCTTTGCAAATGATAAATTACTTGGTGAACTATTAGATGTATTAACTAAAGCACGATCTGAAGTTGAAGTTATACCAATCGATTCGCTTAAGGGAATCATACTATTAAACAATTCACAAATTATTTAAACATTTTACTATGATTATCAATTATTATATATCACGGAAGAATAAAGACCTTTTGTCAGCAAATGGATCATAGCCACATTCTGGGAATAAACTTCTATTATGCCATTCAGGAAGTGGCAATTGTTTTTTAGAATTTCTTTCTTCGATGCGTTTAGCAAGCCGTTGCTCGTCACGAGCACGTCTATCTCTTAAAGCTTTTTTCTCATCCAAGTTGCCTAAATCCAAAAGACGTTTTATTATATTTTTTTACATAGCATTTTATCCAGTAGCTGTATAAATCAAATTTTATTAAATATTTTCAACTATGTCAGAATTAACAATGGTAATAATTACTTTTAAATATAAATAAGGTTTCTTGACTGACAATATTGGTCAAATCCAATTCAACCCATTCAAAAACAGTTGTTATGGGCAAATGTAACAAGAATCTATAGCGTTTTCTTGATGCTTCAGTCATCGATAAGGACTGTTTTTCAATTACAATGGCATCTATCTGCTGTGGACTATTTTCAAGACTGCCAAACATACATTCTAACATTTCTACATTTACTGCTGATAAATATATATGTTGGCCATCCAAAGCTGTTAAAATTTACAAATATAATAAGATATACAAATATACATTTAAAATTGTTAAATATTTACCTTGATAGAAATAAAAATCCTTTTTGGCAGGTTTTTTTTGTAAAACGTCTTTAATTCCAACAGTGTTAAAATTATTAAAATTTGTGTTCATTTCTCTAAAAATTAAAATACTTCATTAATACTTATACACCAAATTGTTTTTCATATGATGAACAATGATTCCAATTATTTTAAAAAATAAGTAACTGTGGACTTTAAGAAGGATAACCCCTTTTATTACTATCACAATTTTATCTATACTGTCCAGTGAGAGAACGCACTGAGCCCCAACCAAAACTGGTTCCTCCACACAAGACCCTGCCATTGGGGAACCGGTGTCAATAGCATGGTGACACAGGGGTTGCGCAGAATCGGCGCATTCTCTTGCTGGACAGGGTATATATGTTTTATATTCAGTTGTGTATAATCCCAAATATTAATATCTAGAACACGACAAATTCAATTATTTAATGCTACAATATCATGATTCACTGTACGACATGGCTTAAAGAACACAAACACCTAATTGGTTTCTACTGGTTTAGATTTTTATTTATAATAAATAATAATTAATAAATCATATACCTAATGTGTTAATAGTTAATGCATGACCTATAGGCTGTAACATTGTATTGCTAGATATGTGCTATTTTATTATACATCACTGTTCGAAAATTGTTTGACTAGTATTCTTAAATTCATATTATATTTGATGGCAATAATGAGGAACTTTGCTGAATATTAAATAAATAGATAAAAGAATATTAGTTTTTTAATATATTGTACATTATCTTACTTTATATGTAAATTTGGATTTTCCTCTAAAACACTAGCAACATTATGAGAACATCCAGGGATCTCAAGAAAGTTCTTTAATTGTGATTGCTATAAAATACAAATTTTTATTATAACTATAGATATATACAACAACTAGATAGCTGTATTTATACTACAGTTGTGATCGATGTTGAAGTCGGAAGCCATTTATAAAGCAGGCAAAATTTACATTAATTCATATTCATATAACATACATATTATTATAAGTGTGATAATATTGTTTTTTAGACATTGCTTGCTTTATAAATGGCGGCTGACTTCAATGATAAGAAGGAGATGGCTTAAGGTATATCTATAATTGTGGTGATGGCTATCTAGTTGTTGTATGTATCTATGATTTCATAATATAATGATTGATTATACTATTTGTAAACATCCATTACCCCAAAAAATTATATTTTTAAAATATTTAATTATTTTTGGTTTTTTAAATTTTAGAATGACTGAGTACATTTTTAACTTTGCATTCTGAAGTATAAATTTTTTTGAGAATTTTGATATAATTTTTCAATCTTGTAATTAATGAGTATTTAGTATTTAGTTAAAAGCTTTAGTTAAGCAGAGTAACTGGCTACAATTTTACCAACACAGTTCCACTCATCTAAATTTTAAATGCTAATAAAAAATTAACTATCTAACCTAACCTAAGCATTTGAAAATTTACCTTTAAAAACTTAAATTCTAATAAATTTTATTTTGGTAAAAATGTACGGTCATTTAAAAAGTAAAAAACATTTAAAAATATTTGTTTTGTATTTTCAGTAGTGATCTAAAATAATGATAAAAATATATTTTCAAAATCTTTTATACTTATTGAGATACTGAGTGTTTACTATATTAAAGGATCACTTTGTAATCTGCATAATATATATTAACTATATTAAAATTACTGGTAGTGCCGGTGGTGGTGATCCTGGATTTGCATTTATTGCAGAATTCATTGACTCATCGCTTATTCCTTTTATTTCAAGGTTCTTATCAAAAGAAAAACAAAATTTTAATATTATATCCTGTTAAGAATAATTTTATTTTACAAACTTACTGGTTCCTGATTCATTAAAATGTTTTCTCGTTTTGATAATAATTCGAGAGCTTCATAAATATATTTTTTTTCCACATCTTCAGTTTCCCAGTACTCTAAAAGTAGTACAAGAGCTTCTCTTTCTTGGTTCAAAATATTTAATACCTAAAATGTTTCATTAATAAATTTGAGTTTACAAATATCTTATAAGTTTGATTCCTTACTTGACTTTTATAACCAATTAGAAGTCTGGAATAAACTGTAGAGTAATTAGATTCACTAATTGATAAAGGAATATCATCTGATGGTTTAAAAGTATTTTGACGGAGTTCTGACATTGGGTATGCTTGCAATGAATTTCTAGCACGTTTCATTAATTGTAAAGTTATTGATTGACCAACGCAGCATTCCTCTTTAATTACTATTTCAACGCTAAAAAAATCAAAAATAATGAAATAATAAGATTTTAGAATGTGGTGTATAATATTATTAATGTACTTGATATAATAAACAATACATTTTTTAAAATATTAAACTTTTACCTCTGTAATTCTTTTTTTAAAATTCTAGAATGGCATATGGGACAGCCGGCGTTTTCGAGTTCTTCGTTTATATCTAAATAATGCAAGATGCAAGGCCAACAATATATATGGCCACAACGAGTCATTTTTGGTGTTATTGGTATATCCATACATATAGGACATTTAATAAATTGAGTAGAAAACATTTTCTGAAACAATAAATATATTATTTAGATTAGAAACAAACTAACCACTATTTGCACCACTGATTATCTTACTACTAACATGTTTTTAGCATTTATTTTATTAACTATTATCAACTTTAACTAAACAATTTAAGCTTACTATCTGTTCAATGCAATCCCAATCAACAATTTCATCCTGATCATTCATCCACTGAGAATAATCTTTTCCAAATTTGACCACAAATTGACAACTGTTTTAACAAAATTATTTATCAAAGCCATATTATAATATATTTATTCAATGTGCTGATTGTATTTAAGCAAAAAAAATAAAATACTTTGCTATCAAAAAGTGTTTGACATTGAACTTGTGTGGAAATTCTTTTTTCCTAGACCCGTAACCACTACGCATACTCCATTTGTTATTATGTTCCATGTGCCTTAATACAGGCAGTAAATCATCATCATCGACATCATTTAATGATTCAGTTACCTAATAATTTTAATTAATTAGTAAAACAGGTTTAAAATAAAAATGTAATACTTTAATCGAACACAATACTATATAGAGAAAAAAGTAAAAACAAGATATATACAATTACAGAAAAGTACCTAAACATAAGTAAAATGTATTATTTTTTTACAAACCTCGGAACTCTTCTTTCTACAAAAGAGACTAGCTCGAGGTTGCGGCTGTTTACTGTTATTTGAGTTCTTTTTAAGGCTGATATTACGGTTAGCTTCAATTCTTTGTGGTTGAATAGTAACAGCTTTTCCATTTCGACGATTTGAGTGCTTTGAATTTGATGAATCTGTATAACAGAATCAAATAATATGTAAAATAAAGAGAATTATATATTTTTTTTTTTGTCAATAACCAATAATTTTAATTTTATAGGTAATAATATAATAATATATTAATATATAATGTAACTTCTCTTGGAAATTGTAATCATTATATTTTGAATATTGAATAGTTGAATGAGATTATTACTGCTAGTAAAATAATAATAAATCAGTGTCCTGCACACCGAGGTGAGTTTTTATGACGGCAATATGAAAATATTATATTCTTAACTCATAAGTTAATTTATGTTAATAGACCAAATCGGCTTCAAGTGAGTAGTAAGCGTAATATACACATAGCTTTATCCAGTATGTATTGGATGGCCAGTGCCGCTCTAACCACCAATAACGCCCTAGGGCAACAATATTTGACGCCCCTCTCCCTCCCACAAAAAAATCTCGACTTCACATTTGTAGCTTATAATTAACCACAAACCTTAAATATGTTTAATACTTATTAATTAAAGGGCCCTACTTATTTTTTAATATTATTATTGGAATCATATTTATTTTGTTTCTATAATTATTTTGAAGTTGACATCGATTTCATTTTTCTGGGTACACTCGTACATTACAGAAAGAAAATATATACAACTATTTTCACTAATTAGTAGATTTTATTATAAATCATACGTTCTGAGTTTCTGCATGTGGCGTGTATAACAGTCAACATTGTAAATTGTACAAGTGAATATAGGTGAATATAATATACAGAATTCAGCCAAAATATACTAACTCAATTTATTTTAAGAAGTTTGTGAAATTAATAATGAGTTGGTTATAACTTATACAATAATATACATATATCTTTGCGTATAATAATTACAGTACCACAACTACCAGAGGGTGGGGGTTTTTGATCACTGAGGCCCATAGACTGCAGGGGCCCCAGGCCCCGGCACAACTAATAATTTACTATTTTCGTATTTGATAACAAATATCATATTCACATTATTTTAATGCAGGGGCGTATTTATGGGGGAGGCTGGGTGGGCTGCAGCCCCCCCTGAAATTTCAAGAAAATCCAAAAAATATGAATGTCAATAAAACATTATTTGTTGGGTAAAAAGGCTTGAAAATTTTATACAAGGCTCCAGCTATATTGTTACAATAGTAGTTGAAAAATATTAAAAATCCTTAGTCATAGTTTTTTTATAAGCATTTAAAGTTCAAATCTTGACAAAATACGGAAAAATCACAAAACTTAAAATTTTGCTGAATGTTTTCATTTTTTATACACCAAAAAAATTTGAAAATATTTTGCCTCTTTTTGAGCTATTTACGGACATTGACAGTTTTCATTTTTCTTAGTTTTTTTTCTATAAATATCAATAAAAATTTTTTTGTTGGGTAAAAAGCGTGAAAATTTAACGCAAGGCTCCTGATATATTGTAACAACATTAGTTGAAAAATATTAAAAATATATAGGCGCAATTTTTTCTTATAATCATTTAAAGTTCGAATTTTGACAAAATTTATCAAATTTAAAATATAATAAATATTTTGTAATTAAAAATTTATAAAATGTTCAACTTTCATAGTTAAGGATTAAAAATTTAAAACAATGGTCCACGTAAATAGGTAAATATATAAATTACTTTATTCGCAATAATATCATCAAATATACTTAGTAATATCATAGGCTGACTGACTGTTTTCGCTTAGAATCGTTTTTCTTATACAATATATGATATTATATCATTGAATTCAAATTTTACACCATCCATTACAGTGACCCACTTGTTACCTACTGTACAGCAGAGCGACATCCACTTACCCAATTTTTGTTTATTGTGTGACTATGTTGAGCCCCTCCCGAAATAAAATTCTGGATACGCGCCTGTCAGTATAGACATTTAATGTATTATTGAAATATTATTCTATATCAGGGTATTGCACAATAAATGTTTCAAACTTCTAGAGGTGTTGTTTCTAGTTTCTACACCTCAAATGGAACAAAAAAAGTCCTTAAGATCATAATCGAATTATCCTAACCTAACCTATAATAATAAGGGTGAAAATCTCTATGTTTGTGTTTTTTTGGTTAAACACAAGTTTCATTCATAATAATGTTCATATCTGCTAAACCGTAGGTACTACAATTAATTTGAATACATTGATGAAAAGCTCATAAAATTAGGATTAGGAAAACATATCTTACAAGGTTCCCACCTCATTTGTTGGGTAAAAAGAATAACACAAATGTCTTTAAACTTTAAAATGTCAAAATTTTAAAAAAATTCAGTTTTATTTAACAATTTTTTTTAAGGCAGAGGTCATAAGGACTTTTTTGTTCCATTTGAGGTGTAGAACCACCTTTAGAAGTTTGACACATTTATCGTGCAACACCCTGTATAAAATAATGATGACATTTCTCCATATTTGACCAGGCAAATTAAAAGAGGATTATTAAACACAACAATTAAGGGACCTCACTTTGTTTATAATTAAAAATGGTTTCTGTAATCCATACTGCGATTCTCTTAAATTTGCCGATTACAAAACCAAAAAAATCTTTTTCAAGTGAAAATATTATTTAATACTACCAAAGGTATGAATTAGTTTAGTCTATGAGTATATTACTTAATTATTTAAATGATGTGTATGCATATTTAAAATACATTTCATGTAAATAAATGACTATTGTAATCTTATTACTTATAAGTTATAAGTATTAATATTTTTATTTGTTTTTATGAATATTGAATATATTATTGAAGTTATGTCGCATTAAGATTTAACACATTATTTACATAATTTTATATTTAATAGTATACAATTTTATAGGTACTCATCTTTCATATTACAGTATAAATAGAAAAATAATACCTAAAATAAAAACATCAAATTTTTCTTTTTATCATTTATTTTTAGTACGCCCCCTAAATTGATAATTCTTTAGCCACTATAGAGCACTTGCTCCATTTGCCCCCCCCCCCCTTGGGACGGCCATGTAGATGGCCGGAGCTATACACAGCGTATTTTGAAGCGTTTTCCGTCAAATTTAAAATGCATAGGTTTATATCGGAGCAGTTATGCGCCGCGGCAAAAAACGGAAAATATCCCCCTATTTACTGTGTAAATCACCTCGGGTGAACTTAGGTTTTCAAAAATATTGTTTTTTAAGTACGTTTATTGCCAGTGTACCATTGATACAATGTAAATAATGCAAAAAACTGTTTAACCGGACCCGGATCACTTTCCATGGCGTAGTCACTAGTCACCCACTGGGTCACGACGGCCCGCTTGACGACGGGACATTTATAAGTTATTAAACGTATTATATACTAACTTTGAAGTGTCATAACTTCGAAACTATGTCCGAGCCCCAAATTCTGACTACACCATCGTTTTTAGCGTACTTAACTACATAAGTTTCAGAAAAAAAAAAAGGTGTCCCGTAAAGTAGAAATATACCGGTAGCCGGTAGTTTATAATATTATGTTATGGTTATATTTTCTGCTACTATTGCTATCCCCACGCAAAATAATAATAATAAATCTGTTCATAATATGTATTATGTACGAGCATATACATATGAAATAATATTATGATTCATGGTATCTAAGGCGCAAGGGCATTAACGCCATGTCGTCATTAACTATAGTCGGCCAGTCGGGTATCGAATATACACGGACGGGTGAATGAAAAAGCGTTAGTGATGCAGTGCCGCAGTGGCGCAGTGGCAGTGCATTGGTCGGAGGCGACGTAGTGGAGGCCGACGGCGATCGGCTGGTGTAAACAATTATGAAGGTTGTGCGGGCGCGCTGATACCGCGGTTACTGTAACGACAATGAATTGAAACCATGAAACCATGACTAAATAAATAGGTATGAACCTAGCCTAAGCTGTTATCGTCCGGTTTGCGCATCTCCCCACTATAATTCTACACACAAAACCATTGCTCGTAGTTTTCCGCATTTTCATTGGTCTACGCGGTCGATGTGGAAAGGGTGGTATGCGTATCACAAAGTTGTGACTATTTATTTAGTCATGTTCGTGGTCATAACCTAAATAAATGAAAATATGAAATTACTTTGGTTTTTCTTCAATGAAAATTGAAATTGTGGCGTTGTCTGAATGTTGATGGGAATTTATAACTATATATACTGTACAATGTACAAAATATAGTCCGTCGTGAAAAACATGAAAACAAAAGAAGTAAAAAGTCAAACCGACCTGTTATGTGTCCGCGTTAACCATACAGTGCTAATTTATGAACTATTTAAATTAAAAGTAAATCGACCGATATGGTGAATAAGTGCAGTGTAACTGGTTGCAAAAGCCTGTATTCGAAGGAAGACAATGTCAAAGTTAGATTACACAGGTAATCTACTGGAAACCAACTCTGAACTACCTCCGTGGAGGATGGAGGTTTATGGAGTGAATTGCAAATTGATTTGGAATGTATCAATTAGGTAGTTTTCATTCTTATCTTTTTCGTTTAGGTTTCCTCTATCGAATCCAGAAACGCTACCCTTGTGGATAGCTGCCACAGGTAGGGAAAAAGATTGGAAACCTTGTAAAAGCAGTAGACTGTGTGGCAATCATTTTGAAAATTCTGAATACATAATTGGCCATGGGAAAAATGTTTTGAAGGCAACCTCGGTCCCAACGATTGAATATCGTGTAGATGTTTTGGTATGTTTGAAAAGGGGTGATTCAAAATTTAAAAAAATTCAATAAGCATGTATAATTATATTATTTTAGAGATACAACAGAAGGAAGTCACTAAATTGTTATGATATGGAGCGAACAAATAAACCTTTAAAAGACGAGCCAGTGGTAATTTATTATTTAAAGCTCTGTCAAACAGAAAGCGTTATTTTCACGTCGCGTGATTTTGTAATTTGTTACAACACAGCATTATTCACGCGCGTGAAAGCACCACGCCGGCGAGCCATTTACCGCTTTAAAGAGCGTTATAACGCTTTCGGTTTGACAGAGCCTTAATAGTTTTAAACTTTTTTTTTATTTATAAACATTTTTATATACAGGAGAGTAGTGATACTAATGTTGAAATCGTCCAACTCGACTATAATGATATGTACAATTTAAAGTACGAACATCAAAATAAGGGTGAAAATTGTGATCAAGGAGAATCTTATTATAAAAATGAAAATGAAAAGTGTACAAAAAAAAATGATCATCTTCATGTTATAAAGTTGGAGAATGGTTATAATAACGGAGATGATGCTAGTCATGACGATGCCATAAAGAACGATTATGAAGATTTCAACTATGAACTAAAAAATGATATTTGTAACAGAGAAAACCAATGGTATTTTTTTATATTATAATATATTAAATTGGTTCTTAGAAATAACACTGAATACAATTTATTGCATTGTAGTTACATGTTTACAAGCAGTTTCAAGGAAGGCGTCGAACCTATAGTTTTACCACCTCCAGAAGAACCATTAAATATGGTAAGATTATTATAATTAAATCCAATATACCTAAATAAATTATATTTTTAAATGTATGTATAAAAAAATTGATTAATATAATTTCAGAATATTGACCAAACAACAGCAGATTTAAATTTTAAGAAAATTATGGATTTAAAATTAAAAAAACAACTACGCACTAAAAATATTTATTCATTATACTTCAAGGCTTTGAAAAAAAAAAGGTTTCGAAAACAAGAGAAGTATAAAAATTCTTTCAACAATGATGATGCAGATTCATTTGCCGCATTTATAGGAGCTCAAATGAAAGATTTACGTCCATATAGAAAGGTGTATTTAAGTGCAAAACACAAAATTCAAAAAATTCTTATGAAAGCACAGCTTAAAATAACAAATTGAAACTAAGTATTAAGATTAAAAAGTGGCATTATGATAAGTGGTTATTATATAATACATTTATACATAATATATACTATTAAAATTGTTGTATTGTAAAATATGAATGTACCTAGAATATTTTTTTTAATCTAATATGTAAGCTAATAAATGTATATTTTATAACTAAAAAGTATAAGTGTTTAATTTAATTTATACATTAATACATTATTATTAAATAAAACATTTTTAATTGTAAAGTTAGGCATTAAATTATGTACAAGAAACTCCATAACTAAATATAAATAATCAAATAACTTATTTTTAAGATGATGTCATACTACACGATACTACTACTTGTATTATATGGTATTGTTTTCATCTTACAAATGCACAACAAAGTTAATTCACTTTCAGCAAAATATACTATAGGTACCTATAGGTATTTCAGAAACGCCAATAATCTTAGCAGTCGAGACGTATATACTAAAAAAAAACCTTCCTTTAGTAACTTCATAGCATGGTGTGCTATAAATCAAGAGTGTATAGAAAAATACGCAACTTTTTCAACTTCCAAGCACTATTTGTTATCAAAAAATGTCAATTATAGTAAGAAAAAATACCATTTAACGGCATAGGCGCAATATCAACTTTAGATTTGGGGGGGCTGAATATATTAAAGGCAACCATTGCAATATACCATTTTAAAATTATGTGTCCTAGGTTTTGGGGGGGGCTCAACTTAGCCCCCCCCAATTTGCGCCTATGATTATTTTAACATGGTACTCTAATACTCTTTATTGTTTAATAATTAATAGGTATAGGTATATAATATATAATAATAATTAAAACTATATTATATAATATGTGCATCAATTAATAAATATAATATTATGGCACCGGGCACACGCACAACTAGGTATGTTACCTACAATGACACAATGTTATTGAATATTATAATATTGCACAATTTGTGTGAACTTATCATTGTTCTTATCAGAAAATTATTTTTAAAAGTATGACTAGGATATTATATTACAAATCATATAATAAACAAATAATGTACTCGAAAACGCAATGCCAACTATTGACAATAGCAAAAGACTTGTTATATGACATTAAACAACTTTTCTGGAGGTTTTGAACTTTATAAAATACCGACCGGATAATGGCGGACCCTAGTTTTAAGGGGACAAAGAATGACACAATATTATTATTGCTTCATTATCATATTATATTGGTGTTCTTAGAGCACTGCACATCGGTTGAAGTCATATCACCACTAGCCCGACGTGCCTTGACCTCTACAACGACGGTACATAGGTGCCTAACCTACCTGTCGATTTCTTGGCGTCCGTCTTACTGTTGGCCTGCAGCAGCGACTTCGGCGCGGGCACGTTCAGTTTTCTCTCCATCTGACGGCTGTCGGACATCGGTGGTGGTCGAACGGGGGTTGAAAGTATGCTCTCCAGGAGGAGAATAGGATGGACGTGAACCGGAAGGCGACATTGTATTCATTGGAATGCCATTGTCACACGAACGAATGTCGAAAACAATCAAGTCGTCGTCGTTGCCCACGAAATTGGGTCGGGGATCGGGGATGACGGACGAGACGCACGGGCAGGGCGGGCGGCGATCGGAGAGCTGGTCCCTCTCTGTTTGCGTGCTGAACCCGCGACGATAAACAATATCGGGAAAGCGAGTGTTCGGCGTACGAGCCCGCGTTTGGCAAATAAGGACGCGCGAAGTAGTGTTTTGCGTGGATGTCACGCTCAAGGTAAAGCCAGAACGCTGCTCTGCCGTACAATGCGAACGCTGTGTGAAAACGAAGTATGAGATCACTAAAACTGTCGTCGCTACTCACTTAATGTCCAGCCGTGATAGCTTATACTTTATAGCTAGCGCGAGCACGTCTTGCAAAGTCGCAACGTACGAGTCGTCAGTCGACGGTATGGCCGTGACGATTAAAATTTAAAGTTAGACCTAAAACGTGATTGCGTATCGCCATTCGAGAATATTGCACTATATTATTATCATAATAATAACACATAATAAAGTCTTATCGAATGTTATCTACATTGTTATCAATCAATCGAAAAGATCGGTCGAATAGCAGGCTCTTTTTGATCCTTGATTTTCGATCAAAAAACTAAAAAAAGTCTATTCGATTGCTGGTTTTCTATCGAGTATATTCTCACACAGTGATCGGATATTGTAAATCGTAAATATTATTTTCGAACAGTTTTTCGATTATCGATTCACTTATCACTAAAAACAGTTGTTATTCCATGAAACAAAACATTTTGTCTGCTACATTTTGATATTACAAGGTTTCACTTATTAGTATTTAGTTTATTGCTATTAGTAGCTAGTTTTAAATTTTTAATATTACCTATTAATAGTTACTACATTCAGGATTCAACATCGAGTACATTCATAATTACTAATTAGTAATTGTGAATCCTCAAGAAAAGTTTAAGGGGAAATCGGTTACATTATTGAGCAAAAACAAGCCTTAGTATTATTTATGCAAGAGCTACTAAAGGGCAAGTTTAGCCCATTATTTACTTATAAACATTGTAAGGACTTATTTATTTATTTATTAAGTATTAAACGGGCAAGGCCCTATTACAATAGACAACAATATTATAATCATGATAATGTACAGTGGGGTATCCTGGGATGAGGGGGTTATTTACCCCCCCACCATTGACATTTCCCCCCTAATAAATATAAATATATTGTTTATAAAGTTCGGGACTGCTTGCATGTTTTATTCTAGTGGTCGTAGATTATTTTAGATAGGTAAGTGTAAGTTATAAATTTATCTTATGAAATGGTGAAATTAAATACAAAGTTTGAATTTGTATATTTTTGCATATTTCGTTATATTTTAGGAAAAGTGCACATTTGAGCAATTTTTAGTATATTTGTGCATATTTTGCATTTTTTTAATTTATATGTACAATTGTCGGAAAAAATTATATTTTGAAAACATTGAAAAATATCTTAAAAAATATTATGTTTGGTTAGGTACAACAAGTGTTAATTTTGAGATTTGGAGAAACCGAAGCCTAAAACCGTACTATTATAAAATTGTATAAGCTTAAAACAATTTAGTAAATGTTGGAGATGGCTGTTGGTGAAGCTTGACTACAGTTGGCCCTATTTACGCATATGGTACGTAAGATTTTATAAGTCTCTTTGTGGCAAAACTGTGTTAAAACTATAATTGACATCTAGATTCTATAGATTGTACTAAAAAATGAAAATGAGTACTCAGTAGATAGGACGTGTTCGTTTATTACGGTGTTCGCATATCACGTTATTCGTTATTTATTAACCTAGTATTTTATGCCAGTATTTTTAAAAATTAAGTTGTTTTATTTCACAATAGTTTAAAAATGTCCAAAACATGCAATAGTGTCCTCTGTCCATCATATTAATCAATATAGGCTATATAGGTACCCACCTATATTTGAATTAGTAAGCCCGTGTACAGTGGCATATACGTATACGAATTACTTTCCCTGTGGGCCAATTTATCAGTTATCACTAGTCAAGCGTAGCAAGACTAACATACCCATAACTACATAGGCGCAATTTGGACAATTGATTTGGGGGGATAAATTTATAAAATCAATACAGACCCGCATAATTTTTTATTAGGTGGATTTAAGAATGAATATATTTAAAAACTTAGAGGGGCTTAAATAAAACTAGGATGGGCTAAGCCCCCCCTAGACCCCCTCAAATTGTGCCTATGAATTATGTACCTTTTTCTAGGGAGCTGGGTGGTTATAAATTTATAATTATGACATATTATGCAGTACAAATAAAAATTACGCAATTTAATTTAATAATTATCGAGATAATTATTATGTAAAATAATTTTTTTTTTAAATATTAACAGTGTCATTTATATATTTTAATGTTATCTTACTATGAATTTATCATCAAAGTCAATAAGACATCAAAGCAAGTCCTGACAATCTAACATTTCCTTGTTGATTCCTCAAAAACGATTTTAATCAACTGGCTAACTTAATCATGGTGAAAAATTGTAAACAGTGTAAATATACATGCAATATGTTTTAATTGAACCTGAAATTTCACTATGGGCTTCCCCCTATATACGCCACTGCCCGTGTATAAATTATTTTTATCGTGTTTCTATATCTACTTGTTTTTTAGTTTTTTACTACCAAAATTGGGATATGTTTTGTACTTTTATGCATTTTTCAAAAATAACATACAAATGTAGCTGCATATATTTAAGCATATTTTGACAATTTTGACTGCATATTTCGATAATTTCTAGTGCGCAACAATTCAGTCCCTAACCCTAAATTTATTTTTATACGAAAACTATATAAACTTAGTTTTAATCTATACTTAAACACCCCCCATTTCATAATTCTGGCTACGCCACTGATAATGTATAACAAAAAGTGCGTTGCCTAAACGGCCAATCCATGGCCAATATGGTACCAACGAATCCCCGAACAAAAGTCCGAAGAAAAAAAGTCCGCGGTGGAATAAAAGTCCCAAATTTAATAATTATTAAATTAAGTCACTTAATATTTTCTTAGGTCTAACTGTCTAAGGTATAAGGTCTAACCATATTATCCCAACTAGCACCAAAATGTTCATAGCTTATGAAATGAATATTCATATCTTATTTTTTTAATGGTCTATCATTCTTCTATTCGGAATCCAACCAGATTTGTCATTAACAAGTTGACTGCCACGGTATTTTTATAGAGCTATCCTCATACGCCATGAGTACCAAATGCTTCATGTCGACCGGTGTATTTTTTTATTTTTGATGCTATATTTTGTTAACTAATAATTTAATTACCTAGTGAGATGTTGAATAAATCTTTATCTAATGCGAATAAATGTGTTGAGTTATTTCTATGAAAACTTCATGGCTATTACTGTTTAACATATGGTACTCACTCGGTTTGGCTCGTAGGGTTTTATGTTTTCTGGATTATTGAGTACCAATAATGGTACTCAGT